AAAAAAGCCGGGCACAGTGGCTCATGCCTGGAATCCCAGCACTTTGGGAGGCCAAGGCGGGTGGATCATGAGGTCAGGAAATCGAGACCCTCCTGGCTAACATGGTGAAACCCCATCTCTACTAAAAAAATACAAAAAATTAGCCGGGCGTGGTTGCAGGTGCCTGCAGTCCCAGCTACTCGGGAGGCTGAGGCAAGAGAATGGCCTGAACCCAGGAGATGGAGTTTGCAGTGAGCGGAGATCACGCCGCTGCACTCCAGCCTGGGCGACAGAGCGAGACTCTGTCTCAACAAAAAAAAAAAAAAAAAAAAAAAAAGATTAGCACATGAACACACAACTATTACGTTGTAGAGTTACTATCTGAATCCAAGTGGTGTGTCTTCTAGGTCCACGCTCATACCTATCCTCCTTCTCACCAACATGAATATCTATTTCCCAGGCCCCTGCCCCTCATGAAGCTAGGTCTTCTGTTCCCTCTGACTCTCCTGATAGATCCCAGACTGTGCCGCTGCCCTGCTTAGACTCTGCCCTAATCTCTTTTGACTTAATCACACCACTTAATCCTGCAAGGTTCAGGAACTGTGTCTCCCATTTGAAGATAAAGCCACTCAGAGACTCCAATCTCAGCACTTAGGGAGGCTGAAGCAGGAGGATCACTTGAGCCCAGGAGTTCGAGACCAGCCTAGGCAAACAGTGAGACCCTGTTTCTACAAAAAAAAATTAAAACTAGCCAGGCGTGGTGTCAGGTGCCTGTGGTCTCAACTACTCTGGAGGCTGAGGTGGGAGGATCACTTGAGCCTGGGAGGTCAAGGCTGCAGTGAGCAGTGATTGGGCCACTGCCTTCAAGCCTGGGCAATGGAGTGAGACCACATCTCAAAAAAAAAGACAGAGACGGGAGGAGAAACCAGCTTGCTGGAGAGAGGTCACGCATTAGGTGACAATATCCGGCTATGTGTATATCACACCCTTCACATTACCTGCTGGAAAGGGTTGGAAACCACTTTGGCGTTGTCTTTGCCAATGGCGCTCTCCCAGCCCCCACCTCCGGAGCATACAAGCAGCAGCTCTGCTTTGCACAGGACACATAGCAGCTGCTCAGAAAAGAGTAACCTGTGCTCGGACTTCCAGCCCCCAGGGATGGCTTGCAACCCCCCATCCCAGCTCTGCAGCTCTGCTAACTCCTGAGCCCTTGTTTCAAGGCTGGGCAGGTGTCCCTGGCTGAATGTGGCAGGGCAAGGACCCTCCTCCTCCAGCAACCTCCTCTCATCTCTGTCCTTAGCTCCTGGGACCCATCCAGCCACCCGTTCCCCTCCTACATCCACTGTCTCCCCAGCCTCACCCATAGTCTCGTGCGCCAGGATGTCCGATCGTCTCCACCTGGATCCCCCGCAGGTGAAGATGACTGCTCGGATGAATTCTCGCCCGCAAAGCTTCACTCCGTAAGGCGCTGCCCGGGCTTCAGTCCCCGGCCACAGCTCCCCCGTCAGCACCCACGCCGCCAGGAGCAGCAGCAGCGTGTACCTGGCCATGCTGGACAGAGATGCCTCGGACGTGCGAGTGGGCCAGTGTCTCCGCTGCCTCTTGGCCCCCCATTTATACATCGTGGCTCCCCCACACTCTGCCTGAAGAAAGCTGAGTGCCTCCCTTATCTTCTCCAGCAGAGGGGAGACAGGCACGGCCCCAGCAACCCGACCTTTCTCATGTCCCCAATGAAGTGATAACCTTTCGCTAGGGACAGGGTGACGTGGCCCAGCTCATTGTCATCATCCACAGAGAGGCGAGAAGGTCTCCATCCTGCAGAGACCAGAAATGAATAATCCCAACAGGCAGGGCAAGAGGATGCAACCAGACCCCCACAACGTTAGGGTCCTGGACCTCTTCAAAGATAGTAATAACAAAGAATGCCCGTGCAGTATGCGCTATGGGGCCAGACACACTGCTCTAAGCATTTTATTTGTTTATTTATTTATTTATTTATTTGTATTTTATTTTTTGAGACGGAGTCTCGCTCTGTCGCCCAGGCTGGAGTGCAGTGGCGCGATCTCGGCTCACTGCAAGCTCCACCTCCTGGGTTCATGCCACTCTCCTGCCTCAGCCTCCCAAGTAGGTGGGACTACAGGCGCCCGCCACCGCACCCGGCTAATTTTTTGTATTTTTAGTACAGACGGGGTTTCACCGCGTTAGCCAGGATGGTCTCTATCTCCTGACCCCCTGATCCGCCTGCCTCGGCCTCCCAAAGTGTTGGGATTACAGGCGTGAGCCATCACGCCTAGCCGAAACCACACTTTTAGGAGCATGGGGTTATCAATTCAGGACTAAGACAATTCCCATATTACAAATGAGGAAACGGAGACACAGAAGGGTGTCCTGAGGCAGCAGATGCTAACACTTTTGACACCAGAAACCGGTTTCATGGAAGACAATTTTTCCATGGATGGAGTGTTGGGGGGATGGTTTCGGGATGATTCAAGCGTATCACGTTTGTTGTTGCTGTTGTTTGTTTGTTTGTTTGTTTTGAGATGAAGTCTTCCTCAGTCACCAGGCTGGAGTGCAATGGTGTAATCTCAGCTCACTGCAACTTCTGCCTCCCAGGTTCAAGTGATTCTCCTGCCTCAGCTTCCTGAGTAGCTGAGACTACAGGCACGCACCACCACACCCAGCTAATTTTTTTTTTTTTTTTTTTTTTTTTTTTTCCGGAGACAGAGTCTCGCTCTGTCGCCCAGGATGGAGTGCAGTGGCGCGATCTCCGCTCACTGCAAGCTCTGCCTCCCGGGTTCATGCCATTCTCCTGCCTCAGCCTCCCGAGCAGCTGGGACTACAGGTGCCTGCCAACACACCCGGCCAACATGGAGAAACCCTCTCTCTACTAAAAATACAAAAAAAGCCAGGCGTGGTGGCGCATGCCTGTAATCTCAGTTACTCGGGAGTCTGAGGCAGGAGAATCACTGGAACCCAGGAGGCACAGTCTGCAGTGAGCCAAGATTGAGCCACTGTGTGCCAGTGTGGGCGACAGAGTGAGACTCTGTCTCAAAAAATAAAAATCCGGACATAATAGGAGGCCCAGGCGGCCGGGCACAGTGGCTCATGCCTGTAATCCCAAAACTTTTGGAGGCCAAGGCAGGAGTATCGCTTGAGCCCAAGAGTTCCAGACCAGCCTGGGCAACATGGTAAAACCCCACCTCTACAAATAATTTAAAAATTAGCCGGGTGTGGTGGCACACGTCTGTCGTCCCAGCTACTCAGGAGGCTGAGGTGGGAGCATCACTTCTGCTTAAATGTTCAAGGCTGCCATGAGCTGAGATTGCATCACTGCACTCCAGCCTGCACAACCGAGCAAAACCTTGTCTCAAAAAAAAAAAAAAAAAAAAAAATTGAGGCCGGACACGGTGACTCATGCCTGTAATCCCAGCATTTTGGGAGGCCAAGGCAGGCGGATCACTTGAGTTCAGGAGTTTGAGACCAGCCTGTCCACTGTGGTGTAAAATCCAGTCTCTAACAAAAATACAAAAATTAGCCAGGCATGGTAGCACATGACTGTAGTCCCAGCTACTTCGGAAGCTGAGGCAGGAGAATTGCTTGAACCCGGGAGGTGGATGTTGCAGTGAACCGATATTGCGCCACTGTACTCCAGCCTGGGTGACAGAGACTCTGTTTTCAAAAATTAATAAAATGAAATAAACAATTTTAATACTGTATACATATAATGTTCATAACAGTATTATTCACAAGAGCCAAAAGGTGGAAGCAATCCAAATGTCCACCCACAGATGAAAAAACACATGTTCCATCCATACAATAGAACATTATTGAGACATAGAAAGGAAGGAGGCCGGGCACCGTGGCTCACACCTGTAATCCCAGCACTTTGGGAGGCAGAGGCGGGTGGATCACTTGAGGCCAGGAGTTGGAGACCAGTCTGGCCAACACGGTGAAACCCCATCTCTACCAAAAAATACACAAATTAGCCAGGTGTGGTGGCGCATACCTGTAGTCCCAGCTACTCGGGAGGCTGAGGCACGAGAATCGCTTGAACTCAGGAGGCAGATGTTGCAATGACCCGAGATGGCGCCACTGAACTTCGGCCTGGAGGACAGAACAAGACTCTGTCTCAAAAATAAATTAATAAATTAAATAAATAAATAAGAGGAAGCACTGCTCCATGCCATGATGTGGAAGAACCTCGAAAACATAATGCTGAGTGAGAGAAGCCAGGCACAAAAGGTTACATAGTACATGACTCTACATATATGAAATGCCCAGACCAGGCAAATCCAGAGACAAAAGGTACATTACTGGTTGCCAGGGGCTGGGGAGATAGGGAACGGGGAGCCACTGCTTACTGGGTATGAGACTTCTTAGGAGTGATGAAAATGTTTTGGCACTAGAGATGACGGTTGCACAACACCGTGAATGTACTAAATGCTATTGAATTGTGCAATTTAACATGTTTGATTCTATGTTATGTCAATTTCTTTTCTTTTTTATTTTTGTTTTCAAGATGGAGTCTCACTCTGTCACCCAGGCTGGCGTGCAGTGGTACAATCTAACTCCGCTCACTACAACCTCCGCCTCCCAGGTTCAGTCGATGCTCCCCCCTCAGCCTCGCGAGTAGCTGGGATTACAGGCATCTGCTACCATGCCTGGCTAAATTTTGCATTTTTAGTAGAGATGGGGTTTCACCATGTTGGCCAGGCTGGTCTCTAACTCCTGACCTCAAGTGATCCACCCGCCTCAGCCTCCCAAAATGCTGGGATTACAAGTATGAACCACTGTGCCCGGTCTTTTCTTTTTTAAAGAGATGAGGGCCGGGCGTGGTGGCTCACGCCTGTAATCCTAGCACTTTGGGAGGCTGAGGCAGGCGGATCACAAGGTCAGAAGATCGAGACCATCCTGGCTAACATGGTGAAACCCCGTCTCTACTAAAAATACAAAAAAAGTAGCCGGGCGCGGTGGCGGGCGCCTGTAGTCCCAGCTACTTGGGAGGCTGAGGCAGGAGAATGGCGTGAACCCGGGAGGCGGAGCTTGCAGTGAGCGGAGATCGCGCCACTGCACTCCAGCCTGGGCGACAGAGCGAGACTCTGTCTCGAACAAAAAAAAAAAAAGAAGAGAGATGAGGCCTCACTACGTTGCCTAGGCTGATCTGGAACTCCTGAACTCAAGTGATCCTCCCCCTTTGGCCTCCCAAAGTGCTGGAACTACAGGTGTGAGCCACCAGCCACAGCTATGTTAATGTTAATTTCACCTCGACTTTAAAACACAGCAAAAACAAGGGCTCTGGTAAGGGGGGCAAGCCTGGCTTCAAATTCCACCTCTGCCTCTTTCCTGCTGTGTGACCTTGGCCAAGTCACTTAACCTCTCTGTGGCTTGGTTTCCTCACTTGCAAAATGGGAAAGATTTAATGAGTGAGTCACATTTTTACAACAATCTCCAGCATGAAGTAAGTGCTGTTTAAATGTTATTGCTACTGGACACATTCCCTTTGGATTAGAACTTCATCTCTTTGTCCTTTTCTCTGTCACAAACTCCTGGCCCCAGTTGCCTGCTGTGGATGTCATGGGCCAAGGACAACATTCTGGAGGCAGAGGTCACCTCTGATTGTACTGCTTCTAAAGGGCTGATGAATAATACTCTCTTCCCCTCTGCCTCTTCTCCAGGAACCTCCTGTAGGGAGGTACCCTCTTGCCCTTCTCTCCTGCGCCCCCAGTGCCTGGCCTGGGGACTGGGGAGAATAAGCATTCAGGAAATATCTGCTGCTTGCCTGCCTGACTTAACTGATGGGCCTCAAACCAGAAGTCTTTTTTTTTTTTTTTGACACAGGGTCTCACTCTGTCGCTCAGACTGGAATGCAACAGAGTGATCTCGGCCTACTGCAGCCGCTGTCTCTAGGGTTCAAGATATTCATGTGCCTCAGCCTCCCGAGTAGCTAGGATTGCAGGTGTGGCTCACCATATCTGGTTAATTTTTGTATTTTTAGTAGAGACGGGATTTTGCTATGTTGGCCAGGCTGGCCTCGAACTCTTGACCTCAAGTGATCTGCCCACCTCAGCCTCCCAAAGTGCTGGCGTGAGCCGCTGCACCCAGCCCAGAAGCCTCTTTTGTGTCTCACATAGAATCAGAGTTTTGGGGGCAACATAGCTAGGTTCAAATCTCTGTTTCTGTGTGTCCTTGGGTAAGACCCCATACCTCTCTGAGTTCACTGTGAAGATGGAGATGATAAGTATACCTGCTTCACAAGGCTCTGGGGACTTTGGTGAAATTCTACAGAGTCGTAAGCATTCTGTACAGCACTCAGTCGGTGTAGTGTGTAAATGGTGATCTGCAGAAATCTATGTCCACATCCTAAACACCAGGATCTATAAATGTAATCTTACTAGAAAAATGTCTTTGAAGTCAAGCGCGGTGGCTCACGCCTGTAATCCCAGCACTTTAGGAGGCTGAGGCGGGTGGATCACCAGGTCAGGATATCGAGACCAACCTGGCTAACGCGGCAAAAACCCATCTCTACTAAAAATACAAAAAAAATTAGCCGGGTGTGGTGGCGGGCGCCTGTGGTCCCAGTTACTCTGGAGGCTGAGGCAGGAGAATGGCGTGAACCCGGGAG